TTATCATCATCGGCTCTGGTTTGCATGTAGCTGTTCTAACTCGAACAAAACCATTCCTGGAACGATTTGGCTTCGAGGTTACCTAACTTCCTGTACTCTTATCGTAATTTACAGCGCAGGTAGCACAGAGGCCGTAGGCCTCAGCAACATATATGGAATCGATCCCCGTGCACCATGCTCACCAAGTCCTTCAACACTCCGAGGTCAGCATTTTAGCACCAGACTTGTCTGGCAGGATTGTAGCACTGGCTCGATACATCGATTGGTCACCGCGAGTCGTTGTAAAAGCCAAATATGCATTCAATCACCTCCAACTCTGCTTGATGACACTTTTTTAGTTGATGGGTGATTGCTGATGGCACTGATCGATAGAACTAGCTGAGAGACAGGCGAAACGAAGGACCCGCATGCTGTGGTAGTGAGCGCGTTAGACACCGGAAAGGGTAATAGCTCGTTCGTTTCCCACCGCAGACACTTGCGGTCCGGAGTTTTGTAAATATCTCAGCATCATTGTGGTTGTTTCACGTACATTACCTTGCCGTGAAAAGAGTAATAGGCAGTAAATCAAAAAGTTTTGTTGAGCTTGCACTATTTCCCTGCTGTACATCGCAGTCCGATACCCAGAAACACCCTCAGCCACGATGAGGTGGTAAACTGTTGGGAGACGTCATTGGAAATCCCTACCAAATTCCCTAACTAGTTGATAACTCATCGGATACTCCGTCTTGGGTGGCTAGCACATAGTTTTCCGATAGAACAACCGGCATCCGAAATAGTCACGTTGATGACACCTGAAGGAAAATACCTCCACGAATTCTATCAGTATAAAGCAATGCCCCTCTGATCCACAAAGGTGGCGATTGTCCGTGGTGGTGACGGCTTGGGGCAGACTTTGGCCTGATCGACATCAGAATCCCAGGGAATCACAATGGCTAAGCCAGCAAAACTCCGCAAAAATGGAATCTATGCTCGAGCCCGCAAAACCAGTGAAAACGGGCCATCGAAGCATCCAAGTATCCATGTACGACACAACGCGGTGTACCAGTGCTCTGCACTGGCCCGTTGTTGGTGCGTAGCTTGACGTGTCGTTGGTCGTTCCGCAAGAGGCGGCGCGGTGCTCGCCGGGTCCGTTCTCCCATTCGCTTTGCTGGCTGGTGCTCGTCGGTCGGTACAGAACTCGTGGTGGTAGAACTTCTCTGTTGAAAATCCAGTGACGACCACGAATCGCGATGAACTCGCCGACAGCCCAGCACTCGCCGTTCTACAGCTCCCAAAATATGGGGTGAGTTGATGGCGATCGAGCGTTTCTCTTTAGCTTGGTACATCGATTCTATCTGAGCGGCTTGACATCCTTATTATGGTTCTTTCTTTTCTTTTCACTAGTTCTTTATTGCATGTTATATCGTTGAGAATGTCTCAATCGGGTGAAAGTTATGGATAGAGTATTCGGAACGGTGCGTAAGACCACGTTTGGTTTTTCACGATTTCGGGTTAACTGTTTTATGAGTTGTCCCTTTGAAAGGTTATCTGCATTCATCTATCGTTATTGTTTTTCTAATAATCAATATTAGTCTCGTCATCGATTAGCCAATAGCCAATACTAGTCTTTTATTGTATTGTTTTATCACAGTTAGCCTTCTGTATATATCGATGACTTTCATAGCTCATTCCACCTATCAGGCAATGGGCAGACATTGCTCCTGTAGAGACACGAGCTTACAGCGGTTTCGGAAGTGCTGGCGGAGGCTCGACTGCCAGTAATGGACTTGATTATGGTCATACGCCCACTAACGGCTACTCGATCCCACCACCGGGCTACGGACAATCTGTGGCAGTTTCGAACGCTGGACCACCTTCTAGGTAATGTCTTGTTTTCCCTCTTTAATACGTCCGCACTTGAAAAACAGGTTTCACCGTCGAGTTTTTTTTTTGAGTATAACACAGTGTTGCAATCTAATCGGTTCCTTCTACTTCTGTTCAGCAAACATGGGGTGCTATCTTATTTCTTTATTTACGTACAAGCTGACGTTTCGGCGGATTTTGCCCTCCTCAGAGCCTGGAAAGGTCAAATTGACTGCAATCTACACGGCCAAACACCTTCATAACCAAACAGAAAATGCTGAACCAAAATTTCAATCACATTGAACACAGTCTTTGCACATTCACCGCTTTCTTTGAGTCTTCCACTAAGAATCCAAGAATCTGAAAATGAACTGCAAGGAGGAATGCCTCATTATCACGCGTGATATTGGGCAGTTATCATTCTATAGAAATTTTGTCTAACATTGTGAGGTAATGAATAAATTGAGGTTTTATTCATTTTGAACAATATACATATATCCTCTCAACGGTTTATCGCCTGATCGTGGCTGAGAGGTGTTAATGGGTGTCGGGCTGTGATGTACAGCGGGGGAATTTATCCTTCTGGCTGGCCTCCCAAGCTGGGATGGAGTCCGACTTTTCCATTAGTGAGCCCAGCTAAGAGTGCACTAGTGCTAGGATCCACCATCGCCGTGGTATCAAACTAGTCGCATGCTGGCAAATCTCTCTCTGATCCACAAGGGCGACAACAGTCTGTGGTGGTGACGGCCTGGAACAGACTTTGGCCTGGCTGGCTTCGGGGCTCCAGGGAACCATATTGGCTAAATCAGCACAACTCCGAAACAAGGGAAATTTTGATGCGGCCTGCACAATCAGTGGACTTGGACTATCGAAGTATACAAGTAGGTAAATCTATATGTGCATACTAAGGGTTGCTGTTGTCGTGTGTTAACAAAAGTTATTGGCGATTCTAAATTTGTGGAAGTTTGTTATACTGGGTAGGGTAACACTAAGTCATATCCTTTTAGTACAGTTTATTCGCTAATATGTGGTATGTATTTTATTTGCTAGCTAAACTACTTTGTCACTGAATGGAGTTGAAGCTACCAAATAGCTGACAGGTGGCAGTAGCAGCTTGAAATGTAAGATTTCTTTGCAAGCTACCATATCATCTTTAAATAGTAATGGAACAAGTTCAAAGATTTACCGTAGATACTCGGGCATTCCCTTTACATTGTTGAGTTTGATGTAACTATGTAAACCACAACATATGGGCGCGTGTGGCGCAGTGGTCGAGGACGTCCTGCAATAGATACAGGATCGATCCTCGCGCGCCTGGCCCACCAAGACCACCATCCGTCCGGAGTCGGCAAATTGGTACCAAACCTGTCTGAGAGGATAGCAGCACTGGAGCGATACATCTACTGTGAGTCATTGTAAAGGCCAGATATTTATTCAATCACCTCCAACGATACTTAACGAAGTCGAATGCATGGTGCATCCCTCAGAGATTAATCAACACCAATAGCTTTATCCTTTGTCCTTTTTAACTTTACAAAGACATAACGTTCACCTATCATTCCTTCAATATTCTGTTGTGATAGGCTTCGCCCAAATTTAATCAATGTGGTTACCGAAGTCTGCTATAATATATTTGTCGAAATGAGATTGTCTTTTTCCTTTTTCATCTCCTTGTTTCTATTCGGCTAACTTTTCTGTGCCTTCTCTGTCGATGGTCCACAGCTGGTTATTAAGATACTTTTTTCTGTTTATACGTTTGTCAGGAATCCAAACACGAAGGCATAATTTCACAGCTCATTACGTATTTCAAAGGTTTTGGAACTGTCTCCTTTGTTATGAAAACTGTAGTAGGCAGTAAATAAAAAAGTTAACATTGTGATTTCGTTTGCAGCTTCAGCTTAATTGGGTTCAAGGCCGATGTGGGTTCCCCAGACCTTTCGACAGGTGGTTGCTGATGGGACTGGTAGATAAAAAAACTGGCTGAGAGGCTGACGAAACGAAGGATCCGTATAGTGTGATCGTGAACTTGTTAGCCCCCTTAAGGATAGTATCGTGTTCGATTCCCACTGCAGACACCTGCCGTCTGGAGTTTTATAAATATCTCAGCGTCATAGTGTCTGCTTTTTTCTATCTGTTCTCACTTTGAATGAGAAAAAATTTTAGCTATCAGAACACTTATCCGCTGCAACAACCGAATACGTATTCTCGGAATGGCTATAACCAAATGCCATATGTGGTGAACGGCATGAATTGCGACTATAACAGTGAAGCCACTACCGGATACGTAACAAAGGGTTTTGGTGGAACCTTTGACTCCAAAGGAAAGAACTGGTAATTTTATCCATATGAAAATTGGTCCGTGTTGGTTCCAAGTAATTATTCTTCTTCCAGTGGCGATTTTGGGGGCAACTGGCGTTATCAAACGCCTGGTGCTGACTCCGTAGAGAGGTATGTTTTTTGGCGTAATGATTCTTTTTTTCGCGATAGATTACTTTTTAAATAAAATGTTTACAAAATAGAGAAGATTGAAAGCTTAGTTGATCATCTACCGTTGGCATTGTTCCAGGCAGCTTTTTAACAATATGAACAGCGGTATCAATTTCGACAACTATGAGAGCATCCCTGTCGAAGTTAGTGGTGAAAATCCACCGGAAGCAATCTCAGCGGTGAGTTATCGTTAGTCTTTTTTGGTTTATATGATCCTGTAGAAGGGAATGCAGATTCGCTCTTCTACAACCATAAATTATTATAATGTAGTTTCGTAGTCTTAACTGTTTTGTTTGTCTGGTATTTTTCCTCATGCGCTGCTAAATATGGAATTCGCATGGTGTGGTGGTGAACGCGTTAGCCCCCAGAAAGAGTAATAGCGCGTTCGTTCCCCACCGCGGTTACCTGTAGTCCGGTGTTTTGCAAATTTTTCAGCACCATTGTGGTTGCATCACACGTAATGCCGTACCGTAATATTGTAATAAGCAGTAAATAAAAAGTTAACCTTGTAATATCATGAAGTTATTTTCGTTTGAAATGAAAAGTGTTGAACTATGAGTTCAAGTCAGGTGTCCTATAGTGAGCACGACCTTCGTGAAGACGTGGGAGGTTCCTTTGGTGTGGATTGTTTTAAAGAAATGCAACAAGGCTTTTAGTTCGTCGATGCTAACATGCATGAGTGGATTCAACAGAATGTAGACAAAAGCGGATATAGGAAACCTACTCCAGTTCAGGTAATAGGTTTTTGTTTCGAAGAAGTAGTGGCAAGGTCATCTTAATTGTCGTTGTTCTTTTTTCAGCGTGATTAGGACGCATAGGACTTTTGTTTTTCCTTTTTTTTATTTGACGATTTCCTTACCGTCTTTTGTCAGTTTTAACAAATTATAGAAATATTCACTCCCCACTCTATTGGGCAACCGGGACCTGATGTCATGTGCTCAAACGGGATCAGGAAAAACAGCTGCCTTTCTTCTTCCGATTATTCACCATATACTTATTAATGGCCCCGAATCTATTCGTCCTGTACGTCGTTTCATTTCGAAACCTACATTGGTGCCGTTCGTCACGTAATTTACTTTTCAGTCAACTATGTCAAACGCAGGACGCCGCACATTCTTTCCTGCTGCGCTTGTCCTCGCACCAACTAGAGAACTAGCGATTCAGATCCATAAGGTATTCACAAAGCAAATTTTCTTATGTGGTATTGATTGTTTAACTCTGTAGTTTTGCAGGAAGCAGCGAAATTCAGTTATCGTACTAATATCATTACCGCCATTCTATATGGTGGTCGCGAAAATTACCGTGAACAGATTAGTCGACTACGCGGAGGATGTCACATTTTGATAGCTACCCCTGGGCGCCTAATCGATATACTCGATCAAGTGAGAATTTAACTGTTTCCTTGCCTGTAATTCTTATCACGCATGAACGTTGTAGGGTTACATTGGTCTCGCTGGTTGTCGATATCTCGTTCTAGACGAGGCAGATCGAATGCTGGATATGGGATTTGAACCACAAATTCGAAAAATTGTTAGTCAAGGCATGCCACCAAAAACGGAGCGCATCACGGCAATGTTCAGTGCTACGTTCCCAAAACAAATACAGGTATGCGGTTCAGTGCTGAGTTTCTAAATTTGGCATGTGTGCATCTCTCGATGTTAAAATTGTACCGTATTTCAGACACTCGCTCAAGACTTTCTTAAGCCAAATTATGTATTCTTGGCTGTTGGTCGTGTTGGATCAACATCGGAAAATATTGATCAGCAAATATTGCTAGTAGAAGAGTTTGATAAGCGGAAGGTGCTTATGAATATTCTTTCGAGGGAAGGTAACTTTTGATGTCCTGTTAGTTTCATAGCGCATTGTCGTGGCTGCTCCGCTGTTTTTAGAGTTCTGTGCCATGTCTTTTGTCTTTTCTGCTTATTTATGGTTCAGAAAATGCTTCGTTGGTGCTTGTATTTGTTGAAACGAAACGTGGTGCAAACGAGTTGGCCTATGTGCTTCAGCGTCAACAAATCAAGTAAGGAGTAGGTAATGTTGTTGTATGTCCAAATTTTTGAAAACAACTAATTTTCAGCGCTGTGGCGATTCACGGGGACCTGAAGCAGTTCGAAAGAGAACGAAATCTTGAACTGTTTAGAAACGGCTCAAACCCAGTCCTTGTTGCCACAGCTGTATGTACTACACCATCAAGATTTTAAAATCTTAATTTTATATTAGCTAGCATAAACATTGTTTGGAGTAAATCAACTTCTAGTTCAGTGTCGTAGAATTATTCTCCCAACAGGTGGCTGCTAGAGGTCTTGACATTCCCAATGTACGGCATGTGGTTAATTACGACCTTCCGGGCGATATTGATGAATATGTCCATCGTATTGGAAGGACAGGTCGATGCGGAAACACGGGACGCGCTACGAGTTTTTTCACTGTGAAGGTATGTCGTGAGGTGTCCAATTTCTGTTTCCGAATTCCTTATTTTTCTTTCTAGAATCGTGCACTAGCCCGCGATTTGTCTCAACTACTTGGAGAATCACACAAGGAAGTGCCAGAATTCCTTCTCCGCATGGCTGCCGAGGGGAGAGCTCCAAGCGGAATTCGTCAGGTTAATAGACGCTTTGGAGGGACGGACCACCGCCGAGGTGGTGGTACAGGTGCAGTCGGTCGTGGCGGATATAGGTATGCATTAAAAGTTGGTTAATTTTAACATTTTCTGATTTTGATGTTTATGTGGATGTGATTTCAGCGGTGCACCAGGAGTGTTTCCAGCATTACAAAACGGCTTCAACTCGGACTTTGCTTTTCGCGCTGTTAATGGTTTCGGTCGGCCACCACGTGGCTTTACGCCCCAGCAGAATGTCTTCACCCCATCTCAGAATCGCTTTCCGCCCTCGTTTTCACGCGGTAATTTCTCCATATATTACTTGTTTAATAGCACGAACACGGTATTAGAACAGTCCCTGGGAAAGTCATATGTCCTAAAAAGAATTACCACTAATGGTATGTTGAAGACAGGAGTGGATGTTGTTGGAAAACATTAAGACGGAGTGGAAATAAACATTTAAATTAAGGTCAATCACTTTAAGACATTAATATATACATATACATACATGTGTATGCATATATGTACATATATGTATGCATATATATATATATATATATATATATATATATGGATGTCTGTGTTGTTGATCATCAACTTAGATTAATCGAAAAATAACGTTTTCATCGAGGAAAATGGCCACCTTGGGTCGTTTCTTATGACTCATCCAGTTATTTCCCTTAGAATGAGGTTGTGCTTTCTATATTTGTGTTGCTGAAGTTAATCGTTGGAAGAACCACACTCAAAGAGAGCGGGAACTTGGCGTTTTGATCCCCTAGTTATTTCTTAGAAGCTGTCCAGTTTTTTTGAGGTGCTCCGGTTGCCTCCGACTATAGGTTTGAATAAAGAAAGGAAAGGTTTTTGTTTGTTATTTTATTGGTTTTTCTTCGTATTTTTGTTGAGCAAACGCGAGGTGTTATTATTCTTTATTCACGAATAAGCTGACGTTTCGGCGCATTTCGCCTCCCTCAGAGCCTGGAAAGCTCAAGTTGATCGCAATCTACTCGGCCAGACGCATACATAACCAAACAAAGAAACTCTAAACCAAGATTTCAATCACGTTGAACACAACTTTGCACACTCACCGCTTTCTATGAGGTTTCCCCTAAGAATGTCACGTAGAGACCAACCGCACAGAAATCACATGGAAGCATAATGTGCCCCTACCATCAGAATAGCAGTCTTAAATACTGCCCTATATCACGCGTGATAGTCTCGAATACGTACATTTTATTCTCACATAAATGAATGTGAGTGATCTGGTTTTCGTTACTTGCTTTGATTTGGCCTAGTACAACGCAACCACAAAGTCCGTAGCCTACGTTTAACTGTGTCTTACAGAATGCAAGAGGATTATGGTTGTTATTTGATTGATGTTTAACACGCTATCCACCATGCGATACCATCCAGACCACTAATCTGCTATGAATTAAATGACTGTTATCATTGAGAACAGTTACGTCCAACTATGGTATCCCAGCTAAGAACCGGGATTCACTCTAGGTTAGATTTAATCAAAATATCGTATGATATCAGAACGCTACTTAGGTCGAATGAACACTCAGTATCAGGCTTGACCCCATCATTATCTTTGAAAGGATGTTGAAACTTCACACACCAACGAAATTTAACAATCCAAACGAAATCTGGTGCACGACCAAATTATCATTTTTACATTTTACATTTTACGTGACCCGTCACCACATCTACTTTGCAGATCCCAGCCTCTTTGCGTTCGGTTCAGTTTCCTCGGATTCGTCGTCTACAGTGATCTTCAAACACTTCGCACGTTGTTTTTATGTTGCTGCTTGAGGATTTCATCTTCTTTATGAATGTCGTAGAATGGTGGTCGAGTAGATTCTCCTTGCAGTCTCAGAGATACTTGGACTAAGGCGTTCTCATGTGGATTGGAGGAGAGCGTTGGGAGAGGACCGAAATTGCGCCTTGACTTCATGATCTCCGGCATCTCTAACCACTGCGCTATCACGTCACCCAATCAAATTATCACTGGGGAAAATGTGGTGATGTTAACAGCATGATTTCCTATGTGGTATTCTAGGGAACGGAACCATCTTGGGAAAGTCCCGTGTATAAAATTCTGTGTTCGTTTTTGGTTGAAATAGCTTGATCCACAACCTGCACTTCCACTTCCACCCATTTCCGTACTGCTTAGGAATCGTAATGATAGAAAACGAAATACTAAGTTTTTTATGGCTGTCGAGAGTAGGAGAGTCAAATGAGAAATTATTGGGTATGGATGGTGCACAAATGTGATTTGCGAGGTTAAATTACTATTAAACTGAGAAAACAAAACATCTTCCCCACAGAATATCTGGACCTAAAGAGCTGAGATAAAAGTGAAATAGGTTAGGAATAAAACAGAATTTAGTTGAATTTGGTTACTTTAAACAGAGTTGTGTCACAAACTCGACTAGTTGAAAATTAGGAGATTATAAAGCACAGAAATGATTGACTGGTTGTGATTAATGTTGTGTAGCTCACATGGTATGGTCTCTGACTGGAAATCGCTTTTCTAGGTGCTGTTGCCTCCTTCAACGGGGCGTCTTGTGCAGGAGGGTTTGGTCGACCTAGCTTTGGTAACCCAGTGATGCCACAGAGCAGCTTTCAGCAGTCTAACGGATTCGTTCATCCGGGCACTGCCTCTGTTGCTCCTTCATTCCAACAGCAGCCTCCATATCATAGTGGTGGTGGATTTGGTAACTGGCAAAACTGAGTACGTTCAATGTGCCTCAGATTCTAATTCTTAATTTCGTCTTTCTGTTTTGAATAACATTGTCGGTTTTTTGCTTATTAATTTAGGTTGTGACGAAGTCCGATGCTATTTGTCCCTGTCATTTATTACTTATTGCTACCTCTTCTATTTACCGTCTAATGTTTAGCACTAGGCTATGTTATCGAAGAAAGGTGAATCACCCAAGCTCATCGTTTATTCCTTGTTTATTTTATGAGTCTACTGCGTTTCGTATCCTTATTATTATTGTTCCCTTTTTTAATGTATTCAGAGCTTTAAGTGAGTAATATTTCAAATTGTGCACCTGTGAGCGTCTAGAAGTCGGCGATGCCTGTGTCCTGTTGTTCCGTTTCAAATTTCTGCTAGGCATTTCCTCTTTTCTTATTGTTTTTCCAATTGATAACCCCTATGCTTACCAAGAATGGCCATGGTGTATTATCGGTCGGCGGCCGTTGGAGTGTCTTCTCTGCTGTATCCCATCGATCTCCGGGGTAGTCTGCACACTTTTCGATTATGCTGAGTGCCATGGTGCGGGTGTTGATGATGCTGTCTTGTGTTGTTTCGTGCGGGTATTTCTCGTTCCATTCTAGTAGATATCCGTTCGCACTCCCGGTAGTAGCCTGTGTTCATTCTGTTGCATCGCCGCTAACTTATTGCACTTGTTACCGCTTTGATGTACATAATAAGCCAATTCATTTAGACAGTTGTACGTCTTCAGTAACACGATAATATAAGATCTATGTGCTGCTTTGTTAGGCAGTTTGATCGTTGATCATTTTCTTGCATCGTAAAGAGAGCTTGTAGTCTTTACTTTGTCTGTGGTTTTCTTGAACTGTTTATTCTTGTTCTAGGTTTATAAGACGGGTAGAATTGTGCATCTCTGTTTGGTTCTCAAGGATCTAACAGATGTTCGCTGTGGTTCATTTCCCAATACAAATGTGCTTTTTCTTCCCGTTCATCTTACTTTCATGCATATTTAATACAAACAAGGTGTTCTTTCTTCTCTTTGATTTTTTGTTCTGTTAATCGGTCATTCATCGCTGTCGCATTTTGAACGGCATGTGGGCTGGCTGTACATGGAAGGGGTCACCTGCCTACACACCGTAGGAGAACGTTCTTGCATCACAAGTTATGTTGTTCACTTTTGGCTCTGAGTTTAGATTGTTTCGAATTGTAGCAATTTGCAAGGGGATAAAGGATCGGAAGGTTTCTTGTGCAGTTGTGATTTGCATACGTAGTGTCAATTTCTTATGTGATATATTTGGGGCATTAGGAAATCGAATTTCACATGCTGACAAACTCCCATTGTTTTCTTGCTGGGATATATTGTGAATCCAGAAATTCAGTCTGCTTATTTGCCTGTCTATACGATGACGAGTTGAGATAAGCTCTCATGAGGGTATTTTTTTAGAAACTGTAGTAAAAGGATAAAGCTCTCGGCGTTGTTCAATCCCTTAAGGATGCGTCATGCATTCGACTTCACTAAGCATCGTTTGGAAGTAATTTAATGCATATTTGGCCTTTACAATAACTCACGGTAGCTTACCAATGTATCGAGCTAGTTTTCCCAGATAAATCAGGTACCAGTTTGCCGACCACGGAGAGATGGAGGGCTTGGTGAGCCAGGGGCGAGGGAGTCGATCCCATGTGTATTGCAGAGCGCCTTCGTCAACTGCACCACACGCGTCCGTCAATACTGTTGTGGATCTGGATTATCTAAATGTCATTGGTACGGTATTGCCACATATAGTGCTATTTGAAATGCATAGCTTTAGCTTAGTATGGATTGGCCACTCAGTTTCCAGATCATGGGATGGCATATTGTCGTGCAATATTAGCGTAGTTATCCTCTAACTCGGTTTCGATTTTTATAGCTCCGAAGTTGCAAGCGTTCTGGTCCGTTTTCTATCAGGGCACGGATCCCAGTTAGTCTTGCGGTGCTTCTTTGTTTCAAATTTGTGGAGTCTTTGCTTATGTAATATATGAGCAGTACCCGCGATTCTTTATGCGATCCTTTCCTTTCCATATTCTATGTATTCATTGCATTCAAATGGCTCACATTGATCTTTCGAGGGAAACTGCATGACGGTTAAGTACGTGTCTAGCGTTCTGTTGTCTCCACTTTTCCAAGGCAATACTAAAGCTAAATGGAGAAGCGTTTCATTTAAGAAGGCAGATCAAGTGTAGTGCCTTACCAGAATGTTGTGATTAAAAAATCGGTAACGAACATGACGAGAGACTGCGACATTGTGTTTCTAGAGAATAAGCTAGTTGTCGTTCAAAAAGTTGCCTCACCTAGTGTTCGGGTTGTTATGGCTGGAGAGTGCTCCTGGTTTCTCATCTGTGCACATCTCCAATCCAAAATAGTAGCCCATTCTAGAAGGTAGTTCGAATTAACGTTCAAATACCCATGTAAAAGTAAAAACGTCCCACTACATGATTTAGCAAAGAACCTGTAGTTAGTTTCTTGTCAAAGACAATTAGCCTAAAGAGTTTAGTTTAAGAAATTATGTCTTCCGAATGGGGAGAAATCATTGCGTACCGTGAACTAGTCTCGGGAACCAGTGGGGTGTTTGCTGAAGACCTATCAAGTTGCTCGGTCTTTGCTGTATTGCGGATGTTGTAGATGACGGTGGTCTGTTCATATAAAAATTTGCTGTTTGCTGTTGGCTGCTTGCTTAGTAAGTCTAGTCAGGCGACCTATCTATTCGTCTTGTCACATATTCGTTAAAGGCTTACATACTTCCATTTCTATCCATTTTGTCCGCAATGTAACAATTAAGTTTCTCTCTAAAATGCGAAGACTGTGCACTAGGATGTGGCTCCCTTACATCTCTGGTTTTGGAGTGAATGAACCATCCATGCCACCTCTGTCATTTTCCTCCTATCAGCAGAAAGTTTATGGAATCGCTTTATTCCTTGTCGAGTCGTCTTGTGAAAACCAAGCACAGCCCTTTTCTTAACATTTTTAGGTATCGTAGCTTGTTCTGCGGTGTTTGGATGTGGTAATCGCTCGTTCCTTTTTCATAGTACTTAGATCAGTCATTTTTTGAAGCGTCCAACCGTAGCGAAGTAGTTAGGCGTATTTAAATTAGGTCCTACAATTGTAGTCAATTTTGTATTTAAAGCCAACCGTGCATTAGGAGATGGTGGGTCGACGTGAATTGGTGTAAACTGATTCTGTTTCTCGTCGTCCATTTTGCTACGAATGGATTTTAGATGGGCTTTTTGCACACAATCAAAAGCTTGTCTAACGTAAACTAGTGTAACTCCCACGACCGACTTTCTATTAACCTCGGCATTGATCAAGTAAACTAGTGTGCCACGTGTTGGGCCAGAAAAGCAGCTCTCTTCACTCAATACTAGGATAAAGCATGATGCTACCGGGATTGATCAATCCCTGAGGGATGCGCCGTACATTCGACTTCATCCAGAATTGTATAGGTGACTGAATGCATATCTGGAGTATGCATTGATTCGTGGTGGCCTACGGATGTATTCAGTGCTGCTATCTCCCAGATAGGTCTAGTACCAATTTCCCAACCGGGTAGGAATGGAGAGATTGGTTAGCCTTGGGCGCGAGATTGAACCGACAACCGATGTTGTCTGTTTTGCAGAGCACTTCCAACTATTGTGCTACACGTTTTCTTCACTTAGTAGTACTGTGTAAGAACTTTTGGTGAATCTTTCTAACTAGCTGTAAAGATGTATTTTTTTGGTGGGTAAGTTAACTCGAGGTTGACAAAAGACTTTAATCGGTTGACGTTTCAGCGCCTTCGCCTTCTTCAGAGCTAAATTGATTCGAGTCGATTGTCTGTAGTTCTTCCTCCTGATGTGAGTCTTCGTGATCGAAACGAACCGAATCCAGTGGAGCAACACATCAGAAGAAGGCGCGACGATGAACAATCGACTCAGATCATCGGCTTGGAAGAAGGCGAAGGCGCCGAAATCTTAGTCGAATAAAATTTTTTGTTTTTAATAAGCTTCATGTTAGCTTATCTGTGAGGAAAACATGTTGCTTAGTAATGTCAAACGTAAAGGAAATTTGGTTTTTGAGATACCAGCACAAGAAGTTTTCATGGTAGAGCAACCAATAAAGCAGAGGAAGTTGGTTTTGGTTTCAATTCGCATCATGTGCGACGGAAACTTCGGTTTTGATTACATGTAAGGGCCATACTCAATTAAGTGTTGGACTGCAAGTGCTACGAGACTTTCATTTGAACTTGCAAAAAAGTGCTGACAAGTATTTCCTTAAAGTGGATTTGTTATTGAAGGATATTGATGTCATTCGGGTAGTGTAGATTAAAGAATCATAGTGTTTTTGTGAAGCTTGTAATCAATAATTGTGTGGATTTCTACGATTATTGCTCCAAGCCCTTAATATACTGTTTAGGACAAAATGGGGAACTTATTCAGTAAAAAGGCGCCCTCTGCTCCTAGAAATTGTGAGATTACAGAGCAAGATCAGGCCATTTTGGTTAGTTTTCTTTGATGTTTTCTTGTTATCATTTGTTATCATCGGTGCTAGCATTGTGAAGTATCAAACCAAAGTAGTTTTCAGCCATAATTCTTTTAGCAACTGAAAACACAAAGGGATAAAATCAAGCAATTTATACGGCGAAAGGAAAAGTGTATGGAGACTGAGAGGCAAATGGCACGAAAATTGTTGAAAGAAGGCCGTAAGGAGTAAGTACAATAGTGAAGCATTTTCTGTTCACTCTTTTCGACATTTGTAATATATACGTTCTTCGAAGGAAAATTGATCTACTTGTGATGTAACCACTGTTACTGCGAAACCCCATTGTCCTTCATCAATGTTAGGCATTTATTACAAAATGAACGTCCTAGTGTATGTTGAGCTGAAGCAGTAAGGATTTGATAGTCTCTGAAAACATCGAAATTGTCCTGTGCACGCCCAAACAGTGAAGACGGGCCATCCAAGTATCCGAGTTAGCAAGTACTGCAAAAGTTGCAAAGAATTAATTCTGCGTATTAGGTTTCTATGCGTCCCATGATAGTTCAACCTGATGTGAAATAGGCCCATACTTTCTACTTCTTTGGTTTTTCACCTTGATTAACAGTGTTCTTTCAAGAAAGGCATAGATGGAAATGACTTAGAACGTGGTAGAGCTAAATCAGTCCCTTGGTTGCTTAGTGTTCGAAATTTTTTTATTGTTTAGTCGAGCGCTTCTTTTGTTGAAGAAGAAGAGATATCAGGAGAACACTATTGAGCAAACGCTAAGACAATTGGATAACATCGATCGAATGGCAAGTTCTGTTACAATGGATCTCTACTTCATTAAAGAAAATCACTCTTCTTTCTTTGATTCGTTAAGACTTTTCATTGTTTGTCCATTTATGACTTTCCAAGTATTTGTCACATTCAGTTGAGGCGAAACGTTGTTGATACAACCACAACGTTGCTGAGATGTTTGCAAGACTCTGGACCGCAGGTGCCTATGGTGGGGAATAAACGCGCTATTGTCCTTTCCGGGGAGTAACGCGTTCGCCACCACACCATGCGGGTCGTTCGCTTCGCCTGTCTCTCAGCTAGTTTTCTTTCGAGCAGTACCATCAGCAATCACCTGTCAACGGGATTGATCTGGGGAGTCCAAATCGGCAATGAACCCAGTTGAGCTGAGGCTGAGGCTAACAATGAACCCAGTTAAGCTGCTTGTTGATACAGTCGTGTAAACAATTCTAATACTTGGATACTTCGATATTTGGACGGTTTGTCTTCACGAGCTATGCGGACCCCAGCACATATGCCATTCGTTCGTTTCTCTCGCAATCGTGATCCATAGTGGTGGTCTTGTTCGAACATGGTAGCGCCTGCGAGTCTCATACCGTGATCCGTAAAACAACTGCAGGTACAGCTGATTAACTTTGTTTACGAACACGTCCGCCCAACGTGTAGGTGGCCGCCCTAGGGGACGTTTGGATTCTTTTGGAGTCCACTCTACTGTTCTTTTCGTCCATCTATCGTCTGTTCCACTCATTATGTGTCTGGCCCATCGATGTTTTGCTGTCGATGTATATTCTCCTGGATCTCGAAGATGTAACAGATTTCGAGGCTCAGAGCTTCACATTCGGGCTGGATATTGAGAGTGCCGGTTATATTTCAGAAGACATCGCGCAAGCGCTCTGTGAGTAGTTCGAAGCATTCTTGACGTAGTTTAAATAACAACCCACGTCTCTGTAGTATAACAGAGCGATGAGAGGACCGTAGAATCGAAGAGATGAGCGCGGATTTCCGGGGTCCTTCAGCTGGTCGGTGGCTTCTTTGAGAACCCCGAATACAGCCCAAGCTGCTCTCCTTCTTCTACGTAGTTCCTCCTTCATGTTGTTTTGCATGTTCATTGATCGCGTAAGGTATACGTACGAGGTGGCCTCTGCAGTGGGGTGCCATCAAATTCAATTTTTTCGCCTTCGCACCATGGGTTTTTCATTAACTGGGTATTCTTTGGATTTATACGAAGTCTGATCCTTTTCCCCGCTTCGTTGAGCTCGTTGGTCATCACCTCTGCTTCGCTAGTACTTCTTGAGAAGATGACTATGTCGTCGACAAAACGAAGGGTTGAAGGGAATTTTCCATCAAGTTGTATGCCTTTCTCATCCCAATTGAGTGACTTCACTATCCACTGCAGTGCGGCACTGAACAACTTTGGCGACACTGTGTCGCCCTGTCGAACCCCTTTTCCTATGGGTATGCTAAGAGTTCGATGGAAAAGCTGTATTTTCGTAGTGCAGTTCCGATAATAGTCGCACAGAGTTTTTATGTAGGACGAGTCCACTATTTGGTCTACGAGCGCTGATAGGATTGCATTCATTTTGACACTGTCAAACGTTTTTTCAAAGTTGACAAAGGTTAGAACTAGAGGCGTGGTATTCTCGACAAACTTCGATGACCCTGGACATGGTTTGGATGTGGTCCATGCAGCCAAATCCTTTCCGAAATCCTGCTTGGTCGACTGGTTGCGCCTCATCCAATGTCCTTGATATGCGCAAGAGGATAATCTTCGTGAAGAGCTTGTATAGTACACTCAGCATGCATATAGGACGAAAGTTACGAAGATCTCTTCGGTCTCCTTTCTTAGGCAGGATAACCGTGCGCGACGTCTTCCACTGGTCTGGGATTTTTTTCCTTTTGAAGGTAGTCTCTCATATGATCTCTGAGAAGTACATGTAAATTGTGGCTTCCAGCTCTAAGGAATTTGGCTGTAATATTATCGGGTCCTGGAGCTGTGCCTCTTTTCATGCTTTCTATCGCAACTCGAACCTCCGACGGAAGAATTCTAGGTGGCTTTTCTCCAGCGGGGATATTAGGGCCCAAGACGGGGATTGTGAAACGGGAAAGGTTGTTGTAGAACGTTTCCGCTATTAATTCCATATCATGTCGTGAAGTTCTGACGATCCCATCTTCTTTCATCAGAGCTGACAGAGGAAGATTATAATCACACAACTCCCGACGGCATTTCTTCAGAATGCTTTTTTCTCTGCTGTTTCCAGTAGTTTCTTCTGCTTGTACCGTTGTAGACAACATTATAACAATATAACATTATAACAGTTCTAATAGTTTCTACTAATTACTTTCATAAGATATTGTAGTCGAATCTTTTGTGGTATCCACAGTACCTTTTTCAGGTTCACGACTTAGAGTTTGCCGATATACAGCAACGTGTTGTTGAAGGCCTTCGGGAAGGAAATGAGGCCCTGAAAAAAATGAACGCGGTGAGTTTTCTTAACGCACATATCCAGTCATCCTTCATATTCCTAAATTGTTCTGCGTGTTTTTTTTTTTCGATGAGGAAACATGAGGTTGATATTATAGAATTTATTAGCATACAATAGCTGACATTTTTGTGGTTTTGCCTTTTAGAGCCTGGAAAGGTCAAATTGACATTCAGTCTACTCAGCCAAACTTTTTCATAACCTTATAAGATAGAATTTAACACATAAATTTCTCATCGAAGGAAAACAATGAACTATCAATCAATGCAGAGGTTAACGGAAAGTCAGTCTTGGTAATTATTCAATGTCTATCGCGACAATTACCATTTTTAATCAGACGTACACTGATCCCACCGTTTTCTTATGTCTACACATGTCCTTTATCGTTCATAGTTCGTACAACTGAATGCAACCTTGTTTCGTTCGTCAGGTGTCCCATAACTCGTTATACAGGCTACTTCAGCTGAACAAGTATATGAGCAGGGAGTAAATATCGCGTCGTATATTTTTGGAATAGCTGAGCCCTATGCAGTTTAACTTTCATCCAGATTTTCGTCAGTGTTCTTTTTGTAGATTTTCGATATTGACGAGATCGAGAAGCTTATGGAGGAAACGAAAGAAGCGGCTGAATACCAGGAAGTAAGTTCTTTTCATCTGTTGTTAAGAGAAAATGTTTTGGTCGTGCCACTGCTGAATTCATATAACATTTTTTTTCTATAAAGGAAATCGCTGCCCTTCTTTCCAATCGCCTATCCGCAGTTGATGTACAGGAAGCAGAGAAGGAATTGGAACATTTATTAGCTTCACAAATAAGTGATAGCGTCTTACCAGATGTTCCAGATCAAGAGCTTCTCCAAAAAGGAGAAGGTAAACTTTCTAGAAAAGTTTTGCTTCTTTGTTAATCACTTTTTTTTAAGAAGAACCGACGAGAAGTAAGAAACGAAAGGCCGTTGCGATGGAAGTCTGATGGTATATTGTATTATTTTAAGCTGAATTCTTCAAATTTTTTAAACTTTGCTGTGTGATTGCATCTGTCTGTGATATACGTAAATAAAAATATTTGATAACAGACCCAATTTTGTAGTTGTGAGCGCTGCGGCCACAAGTTTCTCTATCCATGTCAGACGTTAGTTATAAATTTTTCGAAATCGTTACTCGTTGTTACCCTAATAGTAGTCATTATTGTGGAACCTTTGTAGGGCGGGACAGTTTGTGGTTTCAACCTAGAAGTTATTACATTGAGAAACTTAGGAAGTGATGCGATTGTAGTCTACCATGTTTGTAGTTCTCTCTTGCTATATTCGTCTTCGGCAGATAAAAGATGCTTAGAACTGATCAATGGACAGCAAAGACAGAGCTCCGTCCAACTAATTTGTGAAGTGCTGCACCAAGTTTATATGAATGCCAAATCGCTGCATGACATTCTCGGCTGTGATGTTCCACACTATTGAACCTACTCTCACGGCGCTTAGAAGGTTGCAAAGTGGAATGAACTCCTTGTGGGTAATGGATGTTCGAAGACGTCCATCTTTTTTAACCTGGTCTCCAATTTTCGTTTTTAGTGGATTTGCGAACAATGCACTAGAAGTGGCGAGAATTGTCGGCTCATGGATCTCGTTTTTCCAACGTGGTACACAGGATGCTGCGTTCTTTGCTTTTATAGATGTTTCTCTGTATCCTATGCGTATGGAGCTGTAAGCTAACTGTTCAATCTGACGCATCTGTTCACCTTTACGCAATGGGAAATCTTAGGCGCAAGCACCTTGTTTTTAATGTTAGCATTTTTATTCACTGCCTATTACAATTTTTCACGGTAGGGTACTATGTGTCATGCAACCACAGTGATGCTGAGATATTTGAAAAACTCCGGACCGCAGGTGTCTGCTTTGGGGAACGAACGAGCTATTACCCTTTCCGTGGGCTAACATGTTCAGCACCACACCATGTGGGTCCTCCCGTTTCGCCTCTTTCAGCTAGTTTTCTACCTATCAGTGGCATCAGCACATGCCGTGAAAAATTGTAGAAGGCAGCAATTAAGGGTCCATCTAGTAACTTCTGGATGTGCTTAAAAAGCTCCGATCGCAGACTTCAGTATCCGATTATTCGACACGTTTTTCACAAAGCGATAGATTGTGGACAGGTAGAAGAAGATAAGACGAATGTTGGAGGCAATCACGATTGTAAAACCCTAAGACATTACTTGATCTTAGAGGTTCAGTGCAGTTGCAACGCCGTTCCACGAAAGATTCATGGAGGGACGTGAGTATCGTGACCCGGACGTTTTTTATTTGTAAGGAACTGTTCACGCTTTCAAGGTATTGGTCACTTATAGACATTGGTTTCGGTTCTGCCAATGGTCATGTGTGTGGGCGGGACATTTGTCCACTTATTTCATATTTGCTGCTTGTGGTGATGACACAACTCGGTCGTCCTCCCTGCTGCTTTATTGCTCATATAACGTTTTAACTCAAGACGTTTTAACTTTTTAAGGGCGCATATGGCGCAGTAGTCGGAGGCGCTCTGCAACACATACGTGGAATCAGTCCCTGAGCCCATGGCCCACTAGGTCTTCCATCTCTCCGAGGTCGGTAGATTGGTAACAGACTTGTTTGAGAGGATAGCAACACTGGCTCGATACATCGGCAGGCCATTGGCATCATTGTAGAGGCCAGATATGCATTCAGTAACCTCCAAACGATGCTTAATGCAGTCGAATGCATGAGGCATCTTTCAGGGATTGATCAAAGCCGAAAGCTTTATCCTTTCTATCCTTTAACGTTTTAACACTTTAGAAATCAGATTTATTAAGTTTCACCTATTACTTACTTATCTCTGCCATCAATAAGTTTCTCTATTTCTGATAATCCTATAAAAGCTGTAAATATGTTCAACAACATCTAATCGAGTGAGATTCTGTAACCGTTGGAGTGGACCGACCTTATACAGAGGCTGGAAGGAATTCTATCACAAACGTGCCACGAAAAATTCGTTTTTCTGCCTCGCCGTTATCATCCCCACAGAGGAGCAACTGGACGTAAATGAGAAGAAAACCCGGCTTTTGAAAAACCCATGGTACGATGGTAAAAGAATCGGAATGGATGGTTGTATGATTATAATAAATACAATGTTTTAGTTGCACCCAGGACGTTCTGTAGTTGTGGAAAACAATGCCGAAGAGCAGTTATGCACGGAGGAAACAAGTACAGACTGTATTCTGGTCTGATAGAGAAGTTACTGAGCAACTGACGAGACAAGAGTTAGGCAGTCACCTTAAACACGCCCTGCTATCAAACTAAGACGTGGTTGACTCGTCAACCATGTCGAAAGTTTTGTGCTGGGTTGAATATTTTGAAATATAACTGCACCAACAATAACAAGGCGAGCTATACAGTCCAGGAATTATAAATATATCCACTTTTCGAAGCCCATTATTGAAGAGGAAATCTTGGCGGGTGGATCAACGTCCGTAATGGGAAAATCGAAACGTTTACAGATTCAGAAAATTGATTCCTAGCCTATTTTACTAGGTTGACATATCCCTTTCGTATTTACATAGACGCACCTATGCAGGCGTGAGTGGATATGATTGCATATGTGTAGATTTTGTCACATAGTTATATTCAGACGAAACTGTATGTGGTTTTGATGAGCAAGTGGGGTGGTTCGAAGACAGGCCTCCAACAAGTAAGCTACACACCGATTCTGGGAACGCCCGTTAAGCGACCCATAAGTGTACTCAGTGCCGTCGAAGCTTAGTAAGCTACCCTTATTGTAAAGGAGAAATAATAAGGAACTGTATTCTCGTGGGCATCGGATACAAGAGATACGGTGAGGGTACTTCATCCTCAGGACGCGACAGGTTTCCTAAATCTGAAAGGATACCAATCTCTCAGGTAGGAGTTCTCGCTCAATACAGAGATCCTTTCTTAGCTATATATCAACTTCGCAGCCAGAACGTTATCAAATCATAGCACTACCACTACTATCGTCGAAAAGATCGGTTGCACAAAAGGTCACTAAGATAAAAGATGAAGCTCTCGCCGTTGATCAATCCCGTAGGAATGCACCATGCATTCGGCTTCAGTAAACATCGTTTGGAGGTGGTTGAATGCATATCTGGTCCTCACAATGATTCGCCATGACCTACCGAGGTATCGAGCCAGTGCTGCTATCCTTGCAGACAAGTTTGGTGCCAGTTTGCCGACCCCGGAGAAATGGAGAGTTTGACGACCCTTGAACGCGTCCTATGTAGATCCTATGTGTATTGCAGAGCGCGTGCGACCACTGCGCCACACGCGCCACTACAAAGATATGTCGCCAGAATTATTGCCTCCGCTCACGGAGAATTCTATGTGTAAATCAGGACGTCGTAGAAGTGAAATCGATGACCCACATCAGTACTATTGTTTTACTGATGACATCGTTTTTGTACAAATAAGCGTTTGCCAGGCATAACAATTTGCTTATTGATTTTGAAAACGCTTATGGAAAGATCTACTTTCAGTTTAACCTAAATAAAACGACGTTTGTGGAAACGGATTCGTTACTGATCGTATATTTACTCCTATTGGAACGGATATATTCGAAATGCTCCAGCTTTGTGTACCTTGCTCGAGAACTCACAAGGATGAAAAACTTAGCGATCTCAGAAGCATAGAACAATCGACTTCAGTAGGTAAAGGTCGTAGGTGTCCGAGATTCATTGAAGCGTACAAAGAACAGTTTGGCTACATGGACACCTCTTCCTACCTTACCCTACAAGTCGAAAACCTGAATGCTGCATTAGCACGAAGAAAATTCAGTCAGCGTTTTAAGAATGCGATGTTAGAAATGTCCTGTAGCACGGAAGTCAGAATGAGAGTAAATCTTTTGATTCAGGATCAAAGATCGGAGATTTCGTCGAGCATGTAAAAACGTCGACAGGTGGTCCGTACACATGATGTGCCTTTGTGAAAACTTCCATAACGCATGACGTTAATGAATTTCAGTTGTTGATTTCTACAGGTGAACCGGAAATGGCGTAACTTGAAAATGATACCGAAGAAAACTCACAGGAGAGCGAAATTGAAGCGTAACCATCGATACTTATGGGACCAAGCAGTGAATGAGACGAGATGAGGCGATGCAATGCAATCGTTAGTTGCGAGGCTCTTCCCTACACTTCGTATTATCTACCAGAATTCAATATTTTGGTATACTGCAGGGGTAGCATCGTGAGGTTTCTGAATTGCCTGTTCCGATCAAGACCATGAAATGTGGTTCGCTTCCATATAGAACAATTATGATACTCCTCGAATCGATAGTTAACAATTACTCGCAGAAAACTTCAAACGTAATTTACTGTTTTTCCTTTTTGATGAGCAGGTACGAAGTTGTTATAACAGCTTATTCCCAATAGCTGAAGTTTCGGCGGTTTCGTCTTCTTCAGAGCCTGGAAAGCTCAAATTGACATTCAAACTACTCGGTCAAACAGTTTCATAACCACAACAGGTAAAACTTAATACATAAACTTCCATTCGCACAATAGGCAGGTCCTTTTAAACTCTCACCATTTTGCTCTGTCTTCTAATTACTGTTGGAGACCAAGCGCACAGACTCATATAGACGAGGAATGTGCCTGGTTTAGGTAAAAAAAAACCGGCCTCAGGTATGGAGAGAGCTGACACGTGCTCACAATGCATCTCTGTTTGCGCTTCACCTTTGGATTTTTCGGATTAATCCAAAACGCTTCGAGAGCGTCGCGTATTGAAGTTTTAGATTCCTGTGGTTGAATGGTGACTCATACTTCAAATATCCACTGAAGTGCTTTGTTTGTCGCTAAGTTTTCCAACTAGATGTTCTCTTGTACAAATGTAAAGTGGTGTACCCGTTTTGCCAATGTATTCGCCTCCGCACGCTTTAC